AAAAGTCACTCCCAGTTGCTGACAATGAAAACCATCGCTCTAAAAGATTTAGCCAGGTTGATATACTTCCCACGCCTACTAAGATAAATGCCTAGACGAATCTTCCACGCGTTCCGTTTTGGATCGTGGAGATAGTAGGATTCTACCCAACCTACTCTATCACAACTCTACAGTCTCCCGCGGGAGTTCAGATCTACGATCCTTGATTGTGGATCTCTCTCGTTGATTAGTTTTCATAGCTTTCTAATCCTCTCATAACTTTCATTCTCTCAAACTCAAAACACTCGAAAGATCTTTACACTAGCTTTTAGCGTAGTGCACTACGCTAAGAGCCGTGTATTGCAAGATAGAGGAGCCACAAAGGGATCCACATTCATGCATCATGTGGATCCACATGTGCACGAGACTATTAGCCATACCGGTAGGGCTAGCCCCCAACAAGATTCTTTCAAAGAACAATCATGTGCTATTATCACGAGATTTCCTGATGCACGGTGATTGCGTTTTGGCAGAATCTCGATGAGTTTCACCCTCACCCTCATCCTGAGATGAGTTCGGCTTACTCCACCATTTTGATTGGTCCTACGTGAATCCCAAATCCATTCATCCTGCGAACCGCAGCTCCACTTTTTCACTATAAACATTTTCTGCGGTTCGCCGTACGTGTGGATTTGGAGGTCACCTTTCCGAATTCGGCAGTTAATTCAAGTAAATTTGATTTGGCGTACGTACGTACGTACGTACGTCAAAATCGGTGGTTAGGAATTTACCTCAGTTTGGATCCTTATGACGAATACGGTACCAGTCAATCCAGCCATTGCAGCCGGCTGTTGTATAGTTACATCGGCGACAGTGGCAACCAAATGGAATACACTCAGGTTCGGCTTTGCTCGCTACATTACCGGTACGTTGCATTTGATCCTTATGATGAATACACGCACAACCGAATATTGGCAATCCAGCCATTATAGCCAGCTGCCATATAGCTAGTGGCAACAGTACCGAAAGTTCGGCTTTGCTCGCGCTACACTTCGTTACCAGTACCTTGCATTGGATCCTTATGATGAATACATGCACAACCGATATTGTTAATCCAGCCATTGTAGCCGGCTACCGTACAGTCACATCGGTGACAGTGGCGACAGTACCGAAACCGGAGACTTACCCTTGTTTTTCAAATTGCATCAACTTGGCCGTCATGGGCCGAGAAATGACTGCCATCCCAAACTAGTACAATTTGTATGGGGATGGCATTCCAATCTGCACCGGAGACGGTCGGCTTGAGTGAGGCTTGAATAACAGAGGTGCGATCGATTCGAATAATTAAAAACGGATCGCCTATTGACGGCTGAGAACTGACTGCCCGCCCATGGTCCATAGAAATGAGTAAGAGATGGCTTTCGAATCTGCACCTTTAAGAACACTCTTGATTATAGGTGGGCTTACCTCCGTACCACCGTACTAGTCGTTGGATCGATCGATCGATTCAACACCACTGTTGTCGGCCAAGCTTGGATTTCTCTCCTGTTTGCTATAGAAATTCGATGAGGGAGAGAAGTCGGTGCTGCGCCTTCAATAATGGACTTTCACTCGACTGAGGGACCATCGGTGCGATCAGTTTATCCTTAACCTTAGTAACTTCAATGGTTCTTTTTCTCCACGAATCGATCTAAATCTTTCGAAAGAGAACTTGTTACTTAATGATACACATGACCGTTGATTCTGCAACTGACATGTTCTTACTGTTTTTGCGTATAGTGAACGCCGGCAAATCGATTTCAGAGTGCAACTGAGGGGGTAACCAAAAGGAGCGCCGTCTCAAGGAGACAGAATTTAAAGATTAGCTAGCGTCCAGTGCCGTACTTGTGGCACTATTATTGTTTTATCTGCAGTGTTCCTCAATCGTGCATGTCCTTTAAATCCGACCCTAATTTTAGGGTGGGTTTGGGGAAACTGGACCCTAAATTAGTCGGATTGAGGGTCGGTTTCGAAACCCGACCCTAAATCGAAACCCGTCCCTAAATTAGGGACTTTTTTTCAGAAACCGTCCCTATTTTTTAGAAACCGTCCCTATTTTTAGGGTCGGTTTTCAAACACGACCCTATTATTGGTGCGTTTTCAATGTATTTACCACTCAGTCCCACTTCCATTTTGGGACGTTTTTCAAACTTGACTTTAAATCAAAACCCGTCCCTAAATTAGGGATGTTTTTTCAGAAACCGTCCCTATTTTTGGAAACCGTCCCTATTTTTAGGGTCGGTTTTCAAACACGACCCTAATATTGGTGGGTTTTCAATGTATTTACCACTCAGTCCCGCTTCCATTTTGGGACGTTTTTCAAACTCGACTTTAAATCGAAACCCGTCCCTGAATTAGGGATGTTTTTTCAGAAACCGTCCCTATTTTTTGGAAAGCGTCCCTATTTTTAGGCTCCCGACCCTAAAGGGAACCCGTCTTTAAATTTGTCCCAAAAAATAGGGTCGGTTTTCGTTTTAAAAGACATGCACGATTGAGGAAAGCTCCTGATTTTTAAAAACTGGCTGCAGGTTTCATCTAGTGTGGATCTAGTGTACATGTATCTTTCTATCTTGTACGTGTAGCCACCCAGAGTAGCAATCGGTCAATGTTTTGTATGGACAAACAAAATGAGGGTAATCTTGAGCCCTTCCTTGACCCTACTTTGGATCCTCGTCACTAATTTGAGTTGGTCCATTTGGGGTCTCATACTGGATCCACCGATATGGAGGAGACGATGCATCCGAGATGGCTCTGCCAGAAGAGGTATCATCCTCGCCATCCACTCCCAAGAAGAGGATGCCATCCCTGGTGCTTTATCCTCCCCATCAACAGAACCCCTGCAGAGGCTGAACCCCCTCTTGGATGCCATTGAAACCAGTGACTGTGACACTACCAATACGGAGTGCTTTCGTGTCTTTCATGGGCGCGGAGGTTACTATCCTGGATGCGAACATTTGACGTTGGATTGGTTTCCTCCTGTTTGGGTACTCACAAGCTTTCAAGTGGAATTATCACGGGAAGAACTCACCACCATTGGGGAGGCTCTGACACGGCACAGGGAACGCTCTTTTCCGTCCTCAAAGCTTACCTGGGTCTACCAATCTACCAATGCCGTCAAGTTTACGGTAACAACGTTACAACCAACGTCATGTCGGGAGATCATAATGTTCCCGATCCACACATTGTTACAGAAACCTATCATCTTGATGATTATGACAAAGATTCCACTCTTGCTACCAGCAACTCTACTTGCCGCTTTCTAGTTCAAACTACAGCCAATGACAACCACGACCGTCGCCATCGAGGTCTCTTTCTCGACATGGCCAATGGAAGACGGTGGGTGCACCTAAATGCACAAGACAAGAACATTCTCAACATGTTTAGTTACACCTGTGCCTTTTCGGGTGCCGCTCTCCAGGGTGGCGCCCGACAAGTTGTCAATATTGACATGGCATTGGGAGCCATCAAAATGGGGCAACGCAATCATGAACTGCTCCCACGCAACGTGGAGGGTGTGGCCAGATTCCTCAATCATGACATTTGGAAGAGTTGGGGCAAGCTACGAAAGTTGGGGCCTTACGATATCATTGTGGTGGATCCACCTTCCTATCAAAAGGGAAGCTTTGTGGCCAAGAAGGACTATCCCAAGTTGATTCGGAGGTTGCCAGATTTGTTGGCGCCCCCTTCGTCGCCAGAGCAAGTCAGCAGAACAAGCCAAGTCCTACTTTGTCTGAATGCCCCCGAGTTGGGGATGTCTTTTCTACAAGAAGCAGTGGCTGAAGCAGCACCTCAGCTACAATTTGTCAAACAAATAGAGAACCCGTTGTCTTTTCCGGCTATTGACCCAGAAAGAGCTCTCAAGGTGCTGCTGTACGAGTTGCGACAATAGACCTTGTCAACCAAGTGTTGCCCTTCTTGAACAAAGTTGCACAGGAACCGTCTGACCTACGCTTGAGACACATTGTTGTACAAGCTGACCATTATAACCTTACTTGTTGTGGCATGTACACCTTTTAAATCAAAAGTTTGTCACTCCTGGTGGCTTCACACCTTTAAACAAATGCTTGCTCGTATATACGATTCATTCATTGATTCCCAGCTACGAGTGAGCTGCCATTGGTGTCTACACGCAAAAGTGCGGTCTCTGGTACGTACTGTACAAGAGTACACGCATCCCGGATCCATCCATAAAGAAATTGGGCTGCAGAGCATGCCTGTCCCCTGCCAGATCTGGAGTCGAACAATTACTTACAGACACCCGGATAGGAACCAACACAAAACACCTCATTTTGCCCACACACAAAACTCGACTCTCCGCCATGCCAAAACTGGTGTGAATTGTTCATTTGATAAAGCCGAACGAGCCTTCCGCCGGCTTTTTCCAGCCGACTAGTAGCTAGTCTAGTTCACCTGGATACCATTTGATTTTGGGGCATTGTTGCTGCTGTTTTCAGTCTTGATGGTTGCCTTGACGGATTCCAGTATTTCTTCTTCCAAATTGGGATTGTACTCTTTGAAAAAATCCGCTGCCCGCTCCTTGATTTGAGCAATACATGCTTGAATTTCTTCCTTGCGCTGCTTTTCGAGTTGCGTCTCTTTACTGACTCGTTTCCATTCCACGGTCAACTGCTGGACGGTACTCTGCCGTTCTGTTTTGGCCGCCTTTAATTTATCCTTTCTCGCTTGCAGCAAATTGATTTCAGCCTGCAACGTGTCGTTGGAGCATGTTGCCGTGTCGTTGGAATTGGTGAGCCACTGGTTGGCCTTTTTCAATTCAAAAATTTCCCTGGACAATCGATCATTCTGTTGAATGGCGCGCTTTTCTTCCTTGACCAAGAATTTGATGGCTCGTTTGGCTCGTTGCAACTGTCGTGCTAAACTGGTGGCATCAAAAAAGAGTTGTTTCTTTGTTGTTTTGAGCATGATCTTTTTGCGTTCTTCAATTTTGCGCAATTGTTTGGCCCGTAGACTCTGAATTTCGTCGAGTTGTTGTTGCCGCATGGCGGTCCAGTATTTCCATCGTTGCACATATCCCCGTAGGGTGCGTTGAATGTCCGTGGCGGCGGTCTGTTCGGCGGGTGTCCCCTTGACGGTGAAAATGAGGGAGGGACGACACTTGAGCATGCGAATGGACTTTGCTTTGCGGAGTCTACGTCGTCTACGACGGACCAGGAAAGATCGAATCAATGCCTGAACCTTGATGACAATATTGATTTTGACCATGTCCGTGACAGAACTGAGTTCGTCGGAAGATTCATTCAACAAAATCATGCCGCGAGCATTGGTGGTGCGACTGCTGTCTTCCATGGGTTTGGTGGGTTGGTCTTCAAGAATGGCAGGTTTATTCGCGTCATTTTCCTCGGTCGGAAAAGTGACCTCTGCGGTTTCCGTAATGGCAGCGAGTGACACACTGGGTCTGTTGGTTTTGACACTTGCCCTGGTCTTTGTCGGAGGTGGCGTGGTTGTTGCGGATGGTTCCTTGGCTACTACTACTACTGGAGCACATCCTACTGGTTCCTCCTGATCTTTCGTGGTTGTCTGGTTGTTGTTGGTAATTGCAATTTTCTGAATTTGTTTGTGCTGCCAATATTCATTGTGCTGTCGCGAGACATGCCCTCGTACCATGGATTGGATGAGAGTGGCGGCATCGACCTGTACCGTGGGTTCTACCGTCTGTAACTCTTCCTGCAACTCTTGGGAATCGGTCCGCGTCAGATCCGAGATGCGCGAGGCCTTCAATTTGGTTTCGGATATTCGTTTGGCTTTGGCTTCTTGTAGTTGGGATGCGTACGATTGTCGCGTCATGAACCCACGAGCGGAGGCTTGAATTTTGGTGACAGCCATGGTTTCGACAATGCCTGCTTCGGCTTCGAGATGAATGCTGTTGGCGCGCGACTTGGGAAGCGCATTCTCGTCATCTTCGGTACCACCATTGGCCGCTTGAAAGAAATAGGCCCCCAGCAGCGTTTGAATGACCCGTTTGACGGCCGCTTGATCGGAATCGTTCGACGAGACAAACTTGGCGCAATCGTCTTGCAGCAACTCGTCTTCTTCCAATGTCAATTTGCGTCCCAAAAAGCCAACGACCCAACCACGGACCGACTCGGCACGGTCCACAATGTCAGTAGGATGAGGTGTCACGCTGTTGTGATTCGTCTTGACCACGGTGGCCGTCGTCGTGGTATTGCAGCGCCGCAAACCACTCGTTTCTTCCATGAGTCGGCGACTGCTGCCACGGCTTATTGCCACGGCAGAAATGCGGCGGTTCGAAGGGTGGCGTTTCATCGTCTATCTTTTCACAACAAACTGTAATATTAAAGTAAGAAAGCTAGTCTAGCCAGATGGATTACAATAATGTCTTGTGGGGGAACAGGAAATGGAGCTGAAGTCTTTGGCGAAGTAGACTACTATTATAGTAGGGTACCGAGATAGATAGGTCCGGTACGGTACCTGGTGATGGAGCAAGGAACAATAAGCCCTCGATCTTGCTTGGGCAGGATCCTCTTGAGCGATGAATATTATTTAATAATAATATTATTTGCCCTCTGGGTGTACGGAACAAATAGAAGCGCGATTGAAGATTTGCGGTACCAGGTAAAGTATTTAAGTAATAATTGAACCAGTAAAGTACGCGGTCACCGAAACGTGAACCCCCAGCCACTTTCGTTAATTAACCCAATTAGGTGAAGGTACCGGTGAGTAGCGGAACCGCTGCAGGAATAAGCTTGCTGAACGGCTTGAGCATGCATACGGTACGGTAACCGTAGATTTGGCAGCGTCCATCATCATACTGTAATTGGATAGAACGCTTGTTGCTTCGTTCCACAGTTTTAGACCAAGCATGGGTCGGATTGTGAACCTAGCTAGAGCGGGGAAAGTGTTGGAGGCGAGGAACAGAAAAGCTCGGCGGCTGAAGATCCGGCCCGGAGATGAACGGCGAGGGGTAAAGGCAGCCAGGTCCACGTGTTGCTTGGTTGTGGAGTGGAGTGGCTGGCTGGACTCGCTGAAGGGCCTGGCTTTGTCCCGGAGTGGTGGTGGTGGGGTGTAGGTCCATGTGTTGCTTCCTCCGAATGCTGGTCTAGATGCGGCCCGAGACAACAGCTAGGGAATGCTTATGCAAGATCCACACAAGCAATAAAACCCAACACCCAGCTAGCCAATGCACAGCTATGCACGACAACATCAAGTGTCCTCCAACTGACTACTAGTAGTAAACCGAGCTGGACAGAGCAAGTGAGTTAACTGCTGAAGCATGCAAAGAACAAAAGGGAAGCCGGTGGCATTGGTTGCCACCTTGGCTCGCTAGTTTTGAAAAACAATTACATGTATGCGGTTCTTTATTGGATTGCTGCTTGTACAAGTACCGGTAGCTACTGGCTGATGGTAGAAAAGGAATCATATATTATTGCTGTTTATATGTATCATAGAAAGTCAAAATGAATCAACGGAAATTATAGCTCCGAGCAAATTGGAGGCTCTTCGTCTCTCCTGCGATCTCTGCCTCCTGGAAAATGTCTTGCCCACTCCGTCACTGGTGCGTGCCAGGTACCAAACTGTATTGCTAAGCATGTGTATCTACCTGCTTTGTCGAAAGCACTCCACCGCAGCATGGTCACGTGCCTACTTCTTTCCAGCCTTCATGGCCGAGACCATTTGGGAAGAGAGCTTGCCATAGAGGGAACCCCAAGAAGCCCGCAGATCGTCATTCCAGTCCTCTTTGAGTGTTTTTTCCAATGCCAAAAACAAGGCTTCACCCATAACTGGGAAGTATTCTTCCTTGACCCCATAGCTATTGTGCATCTCACCCAATGCCTTCATGTTCTCTTCCACTTGACGGGCTTCTACCATTCCAAGTGCCTTGTCCAGCATCTCGATAAAGTACCTGGAATGGATCTTGAACCGGCGGCTGTTAAGAATAGCGCCAGAGTTTGTGTCCATGTCCACAGGAAAGCCAAAGAGAGTCTTGGTTTCAGGGCACCTTTCGAACAAGGTCTGAAAGAGAAGGCCTCCTGCCACTTCATCGTAGTTGTCAATTTGCTTGAGCTTGGCCCAGCTGTCCAAAACAGACCTTTCAGTATTCATGGAATCCACAATGCCTCCAGACAGCGCCTTGTAGACATTCCTCCAGGAGTGCTCAATCTCGGGAGTGAAGGAGTTTCCCAATACCTCGTGCAACATCTCGAGAAGAGACTCTCCAAAGTAAGGAAAGTGAGTTTCGTGGACTCCCATTCGAGCATGCTTCTTTCCCACTGTGGATGGATGGGCAAAAACACCATGGAATGTTAGAAACTGACCAAAATCAAGACCGTGCAAAAGGCGGTTCATCAGGCATGCACTTACGGCCACCCAAGATTTCAGCAAGCAACTCCGCGTCTGGCCCAAGCATGTTCAAAGCCTGATGACAACAATCATGACAGCGTTCAGTGAGTGAACTGAATACATCAAAAAAGGCGATGACACTTCAAAATGAATGCACTCACCCTATCAAGCATTGAAATCATCTGTTGGGAGCAGCGAGACAGTAAAGGAGGCGTCAATGGACAACATGGGGACGGTAATGTAAGCTGCTTGCAATCCGGGAGTGATGGTGGGGAATCGACACCGGCTAGTAACGTACGTTGGAAGCGTGCCTGACAAAGGGCTTGGACTGTTGCATCTTTTCACTGCCGGGGTCCATATCCAAAGGAAAGCCAAACAAAACCTTGGTCTCGGGGCATTTTTGAAAGAGGCTGGAGGGGAGATGCAGGAAAGAGCGAAAAGCAACAGAGCCACAAAAGAGGTGAGATGTTCCAATCCATGGTGGTTGGATGACCAAAGGAATGGTCCCCATTAGACACTTACTGCGTAAAAAGGATGGTGCCCGCAATTTGCTCATGGTCCGGGATCCTACAGGGAAGGGGAAATGGAAAGAAACCATGAGCGAATGAGAACGAACGTTCGGTGAATTTGTGCGTTGTGCGCTGCCACCAAGCCACTTCCATTTGCTTACCTGCGCAAGAGCTCCCATGAATCCATGACATGAAAGATTGTCTCGTAGTCCATTTCCAAACTCATGGTTGCTGATGTTTGTCCTGAAATATTGCTGGTGATTTGCTGGGTGAACCTTTGATGGATTTGCTTCCTAAAAAATTGTGATGACTATTTATTTGATGAGGTGAGTTTGATTTCCATCAATGGCTGGAGCTTCGTCGCAAGATCCAAAGCAGAATGACCCAACCGTTTGCACGATCAGTGAGAGCCCCAATGCCACCCTTGCGATGAAAGAAGACGAAAGGAGGAGCATTTGCCTACTCCAGTAGCTCCACTATAGTGTTCCCAGGTGATGAATGTCCAGTTGGAGAACCTAGACTGGCTAGATCTGTACTGAGTACGATGTAGCTAAGGTCAGCTCTCTCACCTGAGACCTGAGAGTGATTGTTGAAGATCTTTTTCCTCCTCGTGTGTCCAGATATCGATCTTGGAGCTGTCAGTCTCTTTCTTTCTTACATTCTTTCGGACATACAATTCTCTCTGGGAGGGAACAGAAATAACTTGCAACCTACATCATGATGACGATCTTCTTTCTACTCCAGGGTGGCTCTAGCTAGTAGCTAGCTACTGGTTTGTTTTAGTCTTACGGTAGGCAGGAAACAGCGTGATGACTTTCGAGCTGCTTGTACCTGGTCGCAAATGTGTTTGATGCTGCCCCACACACCGGTATTGATAAGTTGCACGTCCAGGTCCAATACCAATGGTCAATAGCCAAAACTACGGTAGGTTCCCTGATACAGTAGCTAGCAGCGAATAGCTACTTACATGTGGCTTTGTACCTGGTACCGGTACCAGTACATTGTATAGAAGTAGCAGATTAGATTTTTAGCACCTGAGTAGTATTTATTGTACAGAGCAGCACCCGCATAGTTGGCTACCGGTACCCGGTACCGGTACGAGTACGTAATGGTGCATGGGCTTCGTTGAAATGTTCATGACTTACTTAGTTTACTCCATTGATAAAAGGCGATTTAAGTACTGGTTCCGTGGAATGACTCTGGACATGTTGGGCTGTCAAAATACGAATTCTGGTTTGTCCATAAAATTTGTCATTAAAACCAGTAATGCTCTAGTCATTGATTCAATGAAGCTTTATGTAAGTAGGCTTCTTTGGCTACATGCTTCAAGGAGAAATCGATTCATCATTATTTTCGATTCATCATTTTCGATTCCTGCGAGCCTGACGAGCTGTTGGACGAGACGATCTCCTCGCCTCTTCACCGACACCGTACGTACCGGTACCACGTGCATGTACAGTCGTACCCACTAGCTAGTAGCTACTAGTAGTCTACTTGCCTTTCATTTCCACTTTTAGTTACTCCAGTAGATTTTGTCAACTAAAGCAATACATAGCTAGTTCTGTATTCTCCTCCACTTCAAGCACCTCTATCGATTGTCCTCGAGTCTCAGGTTAGGCAGGCCGAAACTTCACCCTCCAGTCCTCAACAACTTCAATGGTAGTCATGGCACAGCCCTCTTGTCTACACTGGCTTCCAGCCTCGTCACTCTTGTGTTCCTCGTAACCACCTTCCGGTTTCAATTGCTTCAAGTTGCTTACTACTGCTAACTACTGGTACCATCCGAGTCATGCCCTCGTACAATCTGCCAAGAAGGAGTGCTCAGTTTGCGAGAATATCTAACTGGCTGCAATCTCTCTGCTTCGCCATGCTTCAACTTGGCTGTACGCCCCATCAAAACAGTCATAAGCCACTGTCCGCCCGACTGGCTCTGTCGTTACAAGCAAGTTTTCAGCAAATAGCTACTACATGTCGACATGGCTTCTCCTCCCCGGCAACCACGTACGAACACGATCATTCTATCTCTCATATGATTTGCAGTCAAGCTCGTACTAAAGTCCCTAGCTAGCAAGAATGAATCTAAGTGCAAGATTTCAGCAAGCTCAGGTTTTCTTGCCCGAACAGGGGGTGGACTCGCATTGGAAGTAAGAGCTACCCCTGCTGCATCTATCATGCTGCTTACTAGCTAGCTAAGGGTATGACGTGATGCCCATTCCCTGACTCTTTGTGTTCCATGGCTGTGTCGCTGCTAGTTCAAACTTTGCAGTTCAACTTCTTTGGTGGTTCAACTCTCTCATCAACACTCGTAGTTATCGTGAGAATGAAGACACAGCAACCGGGGATGGTCAAACTTTCTGCGGCGAGAGGCAATTGATCAAAGTAGTGGTACTGGCTGGTAGTTTTATAATTTGCGTTTCAGCAGCCACAAAACTGCCTCTCCTTCAAGGCAAAATATAGTCACAGCAGTTGCCTACACTGTAGTCGTTATTGGACATCCAGGCACGATCTCAACCAAGGCTGTTACTGGGGAGAGGCAGCTAGCAACTAGCTACAGCGTACGTAACCTTGGCTGCTTTGCTTGACCATCAAGCCTGCCTTGAACACTTTCCTGGCTGCGCAAGTGCTGCCCGAATGTTCGATGGACGAGTTGAGGTAAAGAAGGCTATAGCAAGAAGAGAAGTGGCAGCACTGCATTTTTTGATCGCTACAGTGGTCAAAGAAACAGCCCAGTCAATGCCTGTGATGCCTGTGGCTTGCCTCTGGCTCCCCCTCCATCAAGCCTTCGCCCAATCCCACAAGCCGAACTGCCTGTCTGTGTTCCTTGGATGAAGGGTACTGGCACTCAATGCGTCACTGGCGTTCTTTTGCAAGCAGGGAAGGTGAAAGGTGAATGTGCAAGTGTCAGCGTGTCTCAGCGTGTCAGCTACTTGAGTACTCGAGTATTAATAGTCTAAGTGTTTGTTTGCCATGCAGGATGCCAGCGTTCTTATGACTATGTCCTGGAGTTCAAAGGGCAAGACCAGTCACTAAATCAGAGTACACGACAATTAACAAACTTGATGGAAGTATTAGTTGAAGAGCTAGTTGAAGCTAGTTGGCTATTTTGGCAGTTTCCGCATCTTTTCTTCGGGCTTCTTTGTTTTGTGACCCTTTAAACCCCAATACCCAGCAGCCAAGGCATCCGAAGACCTGCAGAAGACTTGGTCATCCTAAGGAATCGCGCCTGCAAATAAATAGTTTGCAAGCGGTGAGCAGTGAGCAGTTTTTGCAGTTTGCATGACCAGGAGGTACTAGTACGACTGCACATCGTAGCTGTGCATGAGGTGTGCCTTGGCTATTGCCCTTGCCCGGTTGCAGAGAATCAAATCTTGAAGATTTTCGAAGCCATCACCGATATCTCACAATTTTGACTTCCGCAAGTCAATCAATCGACTCTCAAACACCACTCCAAACCAAACACAATCAAAACAAACAATATTCATCAATCATGAGTTTGGAAATGGACTACACCACTCTTTTCGCCGTCATGGACAGCTGGGAAACCATGCGTCGAATCCCCGACAGCGGTGAGGTCGCAGGAGCTATCCTTTTCAAGCACTTCTTCCAAAGGTGCCCCGCTGCCAAGGTCCTGTTTGGATTCCCTGTTGAAATGGATGCTGAAAGCGAGGCCATCCAAAACAGCAAACGCTTCCGCAGCCATGCTTCCCTAATGATTGATATGCTTGACAGAGCCCTGAACATGCTTGGACCTGATGTTGAGTTGCTTGGGGAGATCTTGAGTGATCGTAAGTGAATTGATGGTGCTGATTTTCCTTGTCCTCTCCAATGCAATTCAGTGCCTAACATTGTGCTTCCTTTCTTTTTCCTTCATAACAGTTGGAAAGAAGCATGCCCGAATGGGAGTCAAGGAGAGCTACTTCCCCTTCATGGGCGAAGCTCTGATTGAAACTCTTCGAGAAACCTTGGGTGCATCTACCTTCACACCTGAGATTGAAGCGTCCTGGAAGGCTGTGTATGACGGTCTTTCCACTGCCATGATCAAGGCCATGCACAGTGAAGCCTCTGTCCTTAACAGCTGGGCCAAACTCAAGAGTATGGATGACTATGATACTTTGGCTGGAACCAAGCTCTTCCAATACTTGTTCCGAAAATGCCCAGAGGCCAAGACTTTGTTTGGATTCCCCATTGACCTGGATACAGATTCAGAAATGATGAAGAAGAGCCGACGATTCCAGATGCATGCTCGTTACTTCATTGAGATGCTGGACAGGGCCCTTGGAATGGTTGAAGCCAAGGAAATGGAAGCCAATTTGAAGAGCTTGGGTGAACTTCATGTGAGCTTTGGTGTCAAGGCAAGCTACTTCCCAATCATGGGAGAGGCCCTGCTCGAGGCACTAGAGGCGACACTGCCAGCAGAGGATTGGAATCAAGATGTCAAGGCTGCCTGGGGAAATGTCTATGACAGGCTCTCGACCCAAATGGTCTCTGCCATGAAGCAATCCGCCAAGAAGTAAGCTTTGGTGTCGTCAAGGCAAGCTACTCCCCCCAATCACTGGAGAGGCCTTGCTCCAGGCACAAGAGGAGACACCGCCAGCAGAGGAATCCAGATATCAAGGCTTGCAGGACAAAATGTGTATGACAAGCGCTCGACCCGAATGGTCTCCGCCATGAAGCAATCCGCCGCCAAAAAGTAACTTTTTCACAGTTGCTTTGATCGCTGATGTTATCGCTCCATCATTTTAGTTGCACTCTGCACTATACAATTTCATATTTAGTAGCTCCAATACATGTAAACAATAGCAACACACAAGCAAACATTAACATCTCTTCCCGTACTTTCTAGCTAGCAACGGCTGCTTGATGACAACTGTAGATCCCAACTGACTGAACAAGCCCCCCTCCCGTCGCTGGTGTCGATTCTTCGTTGCGTCCATAGATGGCATGTTTAGTAGAAAGACAAACCCTCACGCAACGACTGTCACGCAACCTGCTTTTATGATAGTGCCAACAAAGCCCATTCCAACCTCCAAATGATGTTCGTCTTGACTCTATGACCCCAGATCTCACACATTTATCGATCTGGCACGGCTTGCTCTCCACGTGCTTCAACGCTCGATAATCAGTTAGCCAAAGGCCAGTCGCTAAATTCACCCGAACACCCCTGGGCGTTTAAGGAGTACCAAGGTAGCCTAGTCTTATATGTTTAAATCCATTATCCAAGAGGGTTCCACGCTGGGGAGTGTTTGTGATTTTCGCGAAAGGTATTTGGAGACGGTTTATTTCTCTCTATTCGGAAGCATTCGGAAGGTGATTATTCGAAAAATTCGAGAAATCGGAACCCAGAAATCATGTGACAACGGTCAAATCAATCTCAGATTGCCCGTCTTTGGAAATTTCGATTCGTGAATCCCATTCTTATACCATGTGATACAGTAGAGAGGGCGTGCAATTTTTCTAAAGAGACGTAAAACCAATACGAACCAACCGTTAACATGCAGTCCTAAGAGATACCAAACTGTTGGCTCTTGTTATCGACAACTCCATCCAACTACCTCCGACCAACAGCAATGCCACTCCAATCTTCATTATTCCAGCTTTTGAAAACCAAAAAGGTAAGCAGAAGCTATGGTGTTTTCTCCGCTCCTTCTGTTGTTGATTGTCATTGCTTTCTTTTGATTTCATCTAACCTTCTTTCCTGGTTTGATCAACATGGCATCCAACCGCTCCATGAGGAGTACCTCGAGTTCCAGCAGTGGCGAAGATGATGAAGAGCCACCTCCCTTTGTTGCCGCATTCCATGATGGTCGCTACAAGAGCCTTCGCTTCATGCAGTATTGCACTGACTTCCCATTGCCCGCCAGGCACATCTGTTCTGGATGCAACAACTTCCTTGCCACCCCATCTGGTGAAACGGATCCTCTTGGTACCAAGCGTGCTTCCACCCACAAGAGCCATGCATACCAGTGCTGCCAACATTGGAAGGTTTGTGGTACCGCCGCTGTTGTTCTTGTCCAAGAATATGTCAACACCAACCATGGCAATGTCAGCCGCTACCTTGTCAATGAAGACTCATCTCCTGTTGCATGTACCACCAAGCGTTCTCTTGAGACCACTCCTGTTGAACCGATGGTGACGGATATTGTGGCGGCTGGCAGCGAGTTGACAGCTTCCACGATGACGGCAAGTGTTGCTCCCGAAGAACAAGATGGGCGAAAGGTCAAGAAAGCGAAGTCTGACATCACAGTGGACAACCATTCCATCAATAGCGGTCAGGCCTTTACTGTTGCCGGTGTTCCCAAGACACACATTGTTGTTCTCCGGAACAAGTGGGAACGGCTTCGCAACAACGAGAAGAAGATCAAGGACCTACAGAACGGCTTTGATCACTACAAGTTCACCGGTGATTCTATTTCCATGCAGTCGGTCCTAGCCGTTATGTTGGCGAGTTGCCCTTCCCTTCCACTCAGCCAGGTTGCAGTCATTGCCCCACTTATTGTCGCGGCTTTTCTTTGGGACACTGGTAACATGGAAGGTGTTGACTTGGACAAGTTCAGTACGTCTTTCCCTTCTGAGACCTGGTTTCGAAACATCATGTTCCAGCATGCCGGTCGCACTCTTCTTGGACTTGGCAATGTTCTTCGTGGCAAGACTGTCTTCCTTGCCTGTGACAAAGGTAACAAGAAGGGTGTCGGACACTTTGTCAAGGTGGTGTCCTGGTTTGACACTGGTACAACGGAAGTTCGCCGTCAACTATTGGATATTGATGCAGCAGAAGGTACATCGGATGCTTGTGCCAAGGCCATTGCTTGTTCTTTGAAGAAACTTGGCGATGATGGATTTAAGTTCCAAGGACACTGCACTGATAATGGTGGAGGTGGTGTTCTCGGTGGATTGTTCCGGTCTATGGCTGATCTGAACCTGTGTCGCTCGAACTATCTTGTCGCTAACTGTTGCTTGCACAACCTTCAGTTGGCCGTGAGGAATCCCATTATCGAAGTACTCGGCGAGGGTGGATTGGACAAGAAGAATGCTATGCAAATGATCCACTGTGTTTACGATCTACAGAACAGCATGGAGAAGGAAGTGTGGCGGACACATGTGGAAGAGGCGGTCAGATTTATGGAAGCCTACCGTACCACTCCCTATGTTGGCGATACATGTGCTGATCAAGTCTTTGCCGCGAAGTGGGAACGTGTCAAGACCTTCCGCGAGTTCTCTGGATTGGACAACAAGGACCTCAAGAGCAAGACTACTCCTTTCTGTACCGGCACCAGTTCTTACAAGATGGTGGACAGTTTGGGAAGCGGCAAGGGTTACCTACTTGTGTTATATACTGATTCTACGCCTAACCCAGACAGTCATCAACATCCATGACACCAAGAGCAAGCAGCACAAGATTGTGTCTGGCCTACAGCCACTTCTACTGGAGCCAGAGCTGTACTCTGCCCCGAATGGTACCCGGGGACTGGAGACGGTCGGCTCAGTAAATGGCCGAGTCTCTCCACTCACCTAATCCTCTACTAGTTGTGTCTAGCTGCTCTGGGCGAGCGCAGCTTGTCTGTGCTCGGTGTTGAGCAGCAACACGCCTGGGGAACCCCTCGTCCGAGTTTCCACGCCCCGCAGCGTGGAAACTTGAACCCTGATGGGTTCTCGCAACTATGACCCTAATCATGGTTGCCGAGAGGACCATCTCACAATTAGGTGGTCTCCGACATGCCACTGAAAGTGGGCGGTGACTGGGGAGTCCCGGATGGATCCCACACGGCAAAAGGGAGTCCTGGGAATGTGATGTTCCACGGGACAGCCTTGAGTCGTGCAACCAGGGAGGGAGAGGTGGGTTAATCTAATCTAGGTTCTTGCCTTCAGCGTCGGCTGAATGAAGAATTGTGAGCTGAGAGAGAGACACCTTCTTGCGATGGCAGTTCAATGGCTGATCTTGGCTAGGTCGCTGGCTTAGTGATTCATGGTTGCCGCTGTCGATCTTGCCAAATGTGTTCTTGGACGGGCGTCTTTGCCTTAAGGGTAATCTTGTTGAGAGGCATTGAGGAGCTGATGCGGTGCATCATCTGTGGGTATCCATTTCCGGAACACAGGTGATGACCTGCGAATGTAGAGATGTATTGAGTTGTAGGTGAGGGCGCGGGAATTAATTTGCAAATTGTGAGATGGTCCTCTCCGCAACCATGATTAGGGTCATATTTGCGAGAACCCATCAGGGTTCAAGTTTCCACGCTGCGGGGCGTGGAAACTCGACGGGGGATTCCCCAGGCGTGTGCTGCTCAACACCGAGCGCAGACAAGCTGGCTCGCCCAGAGCAGCTAACACGACAAGAAAGGAGCC